GGAGAAGCAGGCTCCTTGCAAGAAGCCCTATATAGAACTCCATCCTGGACCCAGGATCACGCCCTGAGCAAAGGCAGACACTCAACCACTGAGCCACCCAGGCGTCCCTAGGATGCTTCTTGACATAAGCAGTAGATGCAATGACCCCTACATAAAGTCTCTATGTCAGCAACTGTCAGATGAACCTGCCTGAAACTACTTGGAAACCTTGTCCATAATTTTAAGAACAGTGTACCATTCGCCAGTGGTGAGCAGGTTGGTGTGCATACATGCACGCACACACACACACACACACACACACAAAACTACAGTTTTTAACCAGTTGGTATCAACAGTCATTTCTTCCCATTGTAAATCCTCAATTTCTATAATAAATATAACCGCCTGACTATGAATGAACATAGGCCAGATCTAATATTCCTCCCTGGGCTCTCACTTCTAATTCTAGAGCCACAGAACTGCTGACCTGCTAAAATGGGTTTATTTCTTCAGGAAGGATAGCTGTGAGTAGGAACATTTTTGATACAACAACAGATGCTCTGTAAACTAATTCTGGCAAGGAGTGGACATGGACACAGTAACGAAACTGCGCCTGTGTTAAACATACTGTGAGAAATTTTATTTCTCTCTCTCCCAGGTTGGGCTTTTGGGGGATGGAGCCTTGAAAATAACATGTCTTTATTTCAGCTCTCAATATGTTCATAATTGTTGAATGAGGTCTACAGTTATAAAGAAATAAAACCTGAAACTTAACCATGCCCACGCCCCCATCCCTCAGTTCCCCTTTCCCATTTAATGTGGCCCTTTTAATAATGCTAAAAATGATTCAGATATTTTGTTAGAGAAAGGTTACCCATCATCACATCTAACTCAGATGAGGTTCATGAACTGTTCAAACAACTATGAGATTAAAAGGGTAGAATTCTTCCAGAGATTCAGTAAAAAGCTAAGTGAATTCTTTATAGATAACGGGATCGATCTTCAGAAATTAACTATTCATTGCCAGCCAGATGTTCTGTTGAGCCAAATATCAAAATATTATTCTTAAATCTAGGTACACGGGGATGCCTGGGTGGCTCAGTGGTTGAGTGGTTGCCTTTGGTTCAGGGCATGATCCCTGGGTCCCAGGATCGAGTCCCACATTGGGGTCCCTTCAGGGAGCCTACTTCTTCTACCTATGTCTCTGCCTCTCTCTCTGTCTCTCATGAATAATAAATAAAATCTTAAAAAAAGAAATCTAGGTACACGTTTGTATTGTCATTAGCAGTAAACCACTACCTAAATCTCTAGGAACAAATCAGTAAGATCAAATCATCTGCACTAAGAGCATGGTCCATCAAATTCTAGCAAGTTCTCCAGAGACTAGTCAACAACAAATAAAAGATCTCTATTTGGACCAGAATAAAGTGAACTTGCACATAGAACACATGCTACAGGCATTCCATATGCCGTTTTACACACTGTGCCCATCTCCTCTTCAATGGGGGGGAGATGAGAGAGTGGGCAAGTGGAGAGGGAGGTGTCTCCCAATGCTTTTCTTTTCTAGCTGACTAAGCTCTCTACCTGCCTACTGTACATCATACACATGTCCATTACACCATTTTCTATTTACTTCAGTCTTGACACAAAGTTGCAAGCTCAGCTCTTTAAAGTTAAGGACCCATGAAGTTAGGAAACTTAGCTTTATCATGTAAACATTTTTCATGAAACCCATGCCTTCCTCTCTCTACTGACCTTAGGCATTTCTGCATTACTTTAATAAGCAAATGTTTATGACACTTAGTTATTAATTTACTAGTATTTATTGTATCATTTCCCTCCATTACTTTATGATCCTTGAGAGGACAGCTAAGCTCCCATAGAACCTGTCAGAACTTACACGACGAGCATTTAATGATTATGAAAAAGCACAAACCTATTTAATATTAAAGAATAGTATTCTTTCCTTAAAATTATGGACAAAGTCACAGTAAGAGGTGAAGGAACAAAATTCTCATTGTGAATAATTAGCTACACCTCTCTATATTTTAAGCAAAGAACACTGAGGTCAAATAATCTTAGACCAATAGCTTTATACAACCCCGTACCTTAATAGTGCCATATATTCAGGGACTGGATTTTTTCTTTTTAATCTTCACTGACAATGAGGCAATAAATGCTCTGCACTTGTGTTTATTGTAGGTTGCGAATATAGTATATGGGAAGCGTGGGATGTGAAGTTCTGTGCGTGTGATTAAAAGCAAATAAATGAAGAGGAAAACAACTCAGAGGCTCTTTTTCATTTCACCTTTCTCAGTCACTGTTTTAAAAGTTATTATTTATCTAAAAATCTCTCCAGGAATATTTAAATCCAGGCTTTAAAAGTTGAGCTCCACGAATTTTCCACAGTTAGTAACTTTATTAATAGTAAATCCCTTCAATAAAGCATTTTAGGACATTAGAGCGATTGCTAAAACATTTACCTTTTCAAAATAAAATTCAAGGGTAGCTAAAACTGGTGGTGATGTTATTTTATATAGATCTACTGAATAATCAAAAAGAAAATAAAATCAGAAAAATCTATATACAGATGTTCAATTTTCTCAGGAAAGAAAAGAGAAGCTCTGATCTGATACTGGAAAATACATGAAAGAGGTAGTGAAGCACAATTTCCTGGAGAGTGATCAAAAGAAAAAAAAGCGGGGCCTGAATACTCAAACTCACACATACCTTCCTGAAAGCATTCTCTACAAGCCAGACCATGCAGCGCTCTGTTGTTCATGGCTCAGAGAGAAATGTTAACAATGGCACTGCCTCTGGGGTTTGTCCTGGGAACTGTGCCATTTAATATTCTTATTAATTATTTGGTGGAAGAGATGAGCTATAAGTAGAGAAGCTCTTGGTCATAATGTACTGAAGATAAATCACTATGTAGTGAAGGGATGTAGAAGAAATTTTGGTTGGATTTAAGTACATCACGAAGGCAACAAAGGTCAAAGTACAATTCCAAGGCCGCACAAAAGAGCCCGACTAATGCAATTTTTTCCTCTTAAGCTTCTAGTCACTAAATATATAGGTTAGGCAGGCTAAATGAAAAAGGGGACCCAATAATCTCAGCTCTGGATGATCCAATGCCAAGACTATAGGATACAAGATACTGTAAGATCCATAAGGTAATCTAAGCATTAGAAAAGATTCAAGGAAGAAAAACTAAGTCGATCATTTAAAATGTCTGTATAGTTCTATTTGGAATAGTAAATCTACTGTGAATCTATTGAAAGCTATTCCTTCTTTCTCAAAGCAGAAATTATCTGTTTTCTCTAATTCCTTTATAGCAATTTTTGGCACATCTCTTGAGAATTTTTCACATGGTGATCTGTACCAATGAAGTAAGTATAAATTCCTTGAGAGCCAAGACCATGCCTTTGTAGTCTGCACTTCTACCAGAATAAAAGATTTCTAACAAATGATATTAGAGGCAAGATGATGCTTCAGTTACGAATATGAGCTCTGTAGCCTGGGATGGTCCAGGTTTAGGTTTAAATCCTGGTCCTAACATTAACGAACTTGGCGATTTCAGGCAAATTTCTGATCTGTGTGTATCCATATCACCACCTGTAAAATTTGCCTAATGATAGTAAACAGGATTATTGTGGGGATTCAATGAGATAACACGTGTAATAGACTTAGGACTGAATCTGGCATATAGACAAGGGTTTGGTAAATACTAGTTGGGGTCCTTGTGCTGGGTTTTCCTTGAGTCAATAACAGATTTCTTCTAGATTTCAATATTTCCCAATTAGATTAAGATACAGGGCACCCAGTTAAACTAAATTTCAATTTCAGATAAACAACAAAAGAACAAGTACTTTTTTTTAAAGGTTTTTAAAAAAATAATTTCTAGGGGATCCCTGGGTGGCTCAGCAGTTGAGCGCCTGCCTTCGGCCCAGGGTGTGATCCTGGAGACCCTGGTTTGAGTCCCTTGTCGGGCTCCCTGCATGGGGCCTGCTTCTCTCTCTGCTTGTGTCTCTGCCTCTCTCTCTCTCCATGTTTCTCATGAATAAATAAATAAAATCTTTAAAAATAATTAAAAAAAATAAAAAGTAATTTCTATACTCAACAAGAGGCTTGAACTCAAGGCCCTGAAATCAAGAGTCACACGATCCTCTGACTGAGCCATCCAGGCACCCCAACAACAAGCATTTTTTTAAATAAAACAATGTCCCAAATATTGCCTGGTAGGAGAAAACTGGTAGAGGCAGCAGCATCTGGTAGAATAAGAACATTAGTTTGCTTTTTTAAGGAAAAAGTCTCGAATCTTAAAAGACACTCCTTCTTCTTTAAAGTTCTTTATCACTTTTAAGAAGCCTTCCTTGCCACACATTGACACTTCCTAACATCCACAGTAAAATGAAGTAAAAACGAAACTTTCAAACTAGCTATAGGAGTATACTCTTCCTCTGTTTCCTACTGACCACGGTGTACTCTGCCCATCTGTTGACAGAACCTATGCTTAATAGAAGAGCAGTTGGGTGCTGTAACTTCTGAAAAAACAAACCATTTTGAACTCCTTCAAAGTCTATATATATAGGTCCCCTTTCCATCCAACTTGAACTAAATAGTACAAACCATTACAAAGTATCAGCTTTAACAAATTTGTTTTGAATACTTACAATGGTTTAAAAAAGGCAGTGGCAAAATTTCACATGTCAGCAGGGGTTTATTTGGATTAAATTAGGACTGGTGATTTTTAACATGCTAAAGAGTTGCTAAGCAGGGGTGGGGTATTTGAGGATAGATTTGCATGCCTGTAAATTGGTAGGTTTCTACAGAGACCAGAACATATGAGGCATGTATTAGGTTGTAAGTAATTATGATCTCCTCTAAAAAAAAAAAAACAACCCAGCATGCTATATGTTCATTATAAATAGGTCTTCTTTTCCAAATAGCAATCAGATTTGTGCTTTCAACTCTAATGGTCAGTGATCCAAGAACAGCAAGTTTGCAGGATGCAATCTTACCCCTCAATACTGATTTGAGGTTGAGCTTGGCTTGGCGGTGCAGGTCCTCTACACAGGGTGGTCTTGTGGTGGGAAGGAACACATTCTCCTGCTGGTGCCATGGAGCAGTGTAGTGGACTGTCCATCTACTCTCCTCATCTAGGTTGGAAACCGCTGTAAAAAGAAAGGTAGAATAAATTCTACGTTAAAATATGCTTCAGTGGCTCCAAACATTTTACGTCAAGGTAAAATTTTACATCCATAGGTTAAGGGCCAACAGAGGGGAAATGGAGCAAATTCTGGATGAGGTTTAGTCTTAGGCTCCAGGGGTCCGTCCCACAGGGTTTTGTCTCTAAAGGGAAAGCTGAAACAGAACAGCATCCCCCACAATGTTTTGGTAGAATTGCTTCCCAGCATTTTAGGCCTTCCCTTTACTCCAAAGTTATCAAACAACTGAGAAAACTGAAATTGATGGAGACCTCTAATTCCTACTTAACTCTACTGCAATGAGTATTTATTATCCAATTGTACTATGCCATTACATCAGTAAATGTTAGATTATCAAGACAGCAACAAATTTCCTATCAAGAGGCAGAGACCAAATCCTTCCCTTCTAAAGCATTACATTAAAACATCATTGCAATAAATTCATTTTTTTAAAAAAATTAAGCATAAACATTCAGTGGGATATATTTAAATAGCATATCTAATGAAGTAGAAATCAATTTGTGCTACAAAATTTTCTCTACATTTCCTGCTTTCATGGAATACTTTTTTTCATGGAATACTATTATGTTAAAATAAATTTTTAAAAATTTCAATGCAATTGACCAAACACATTCCAATTCAATTGAGTTTTCCCAATACAAAAGAGTACATCAGAGGGGAAATGATAGGTAATCATGAGAGTACCCTAAATCTCCATAGTAATTTTCCTTGATTCCCCTAGGGCTTGGGATCTCTATGTCTATTTCATGTTTTCCTAAGTACAGACTGAGTTGGGGGTACCAGTGGAACCCAACATGAAGCTGACAGCACCAATCATATCTATTAACAATTTTTAATCCTTTCTATATATCTGCTGCTGTAAACCAGATGTAAGGAGAGACTAGAGAAGTTTAAGAGAAAAACCCCGTACTAATAAGGCATTTCCTGGAGGTGACAAGTAAAACCAGCAGATACTGGAATTGTAAGCCAGGGGCAAGTCTTCCCTGACCCTGATCTATGTAGTAGGGAGCACGCTGAGCATACACACTTGTATAACACAGTATCCCTGGAAACGAGACTGTAAGATAGACTATCAAAATAAAATGAACATGCATGCATCAACTACTGAACCCTTCTATTTGAACATATTTCAAATTAACTCAAAGTACCTAATAGCACAGCAGAGCTATTATAAAGATGAGATGAACTAATATATATAAAGCATACTGTGGCAGAAGCAGTGAAATTAATCTAATGGAGCCGCTGACTTATTAGAACTATCGTTGAAGGGGAACTTGGCTTTCCTTAGCACTTCCGGGAACCTGAGTCATAGGTTAGCACTACCCCGTAGCCCATCTTTTCTAGAGCTACTAAATTCTGTAAGCCTCATCCCTAAATAATTTGTTTCTCAAATCATCCCACCTTCTCCATAAGTTGCTACATGGTAAAATAAGCATATAAACTAGACGTCAAGCTAAAAACAGAAATGGCTGTGTGCCTTGCTTTTATTTTTTTTTTTTTAAGATTTTATTTATTTATTCATGAAAGACACACAGAGAGAGGCAGACACATAGGCAGAGGGAGAAGCAGGATCCCTGTGGGGAGCCTGATGCAGGACTCGATCCCAGGACCCAAGGATCTTGTGACCTGAGCCAAAGGAGATGCTCAAACCACTGAGCCACTCAGATGCCCCTGCTTTCTGTTTTTAATATTTGACAAAAGCAGCATGTAAATTAGGTACCTGGTATTTCCTGTAACCTCTTGTTAAACAAATGTTTTGCATGGTGCATGTAATTATCAATCTTAATACATAAAATCCACAAAGACCTGACTTAGCCCTTATGCATATGCCTTAGAATCTCGCACAGGGTGGACTCCCAATATGTCTCCCAGAGTAGCCATGGTTAATTGCAATGCTTTGTGCTAATGTGCATTTATTTGGAAGACTGAATTCCCATACTTCATAGTTGAAAAAGATTGAAAAGTGAAACTTCCTACTTATTTCCAGTTACAAATCAAATCCAAGTAATGGTACTTGTGTCTGTGCAATCACACCATCAGCCCCACTGTACAGCTACCAACTGGCTTCTATGAAAGAACAGTTGTCTTTTCTCTGGAGCATCTCATTCTTGGCCAGGGCAGATTTTAATCAGTCCATCCAAAGGCAGCCTTCCACCGAGGGAGCTGCATAAACTGAGCCCAGAGGGCTGTTCTTTGTTACTTTCTCCAATCTCTCTCTTACCAATGCTCATGCCCATTCACATTTATCTAGTTTAAATCACTGGTCCCAAAACTAAACTAAGCCAACAGCCATGTAAAAACAAAACCATATATTTGTAAAATCTATACTCTGCAGAGAATGAAGCAGCACCTGGATTAAAGAAATGTAAACCAATGGTAAGCACATAATGAGGACATGCCACAAAAGCTTGCACTTTACAGTGACTGATCAGTCTAGACAGAGTTTGTCCTGGAGCTCTAAAATACATAACAGAGAGTTCCAGGAAGTTTTAGAGGATCATCCCCATCAAAAATACATGATAGATCACACACAGCCTCCCTGCACCGTTAAGCCAGAGAATCAAAAACACATCTATCAAGGCGGACATAAGGTAAATACAAGGTCCCCCCCCCCTTTTTATCAAAGGGCTTCTTTTGACAAACACAAAAGGAGTGAATTCACCTAAAATCTCAATCATAAATAAATAAGACATGCTAAATCACATAATTCTGCCCTAGAGTTATAAAAGTCTGAGGTATTTGAACAACCCGGTAGAGAATGAAGTTTAACTTGTGCTACTTATCTTTTCATATTCTAATTCCATCACTCAAAAAGATGTAATACATAAAACCACACACACACACACACACACGCACACAGGGAGGGGGTTAGGAGAAATTACTTACTTTTTTTCTTAAAAAGTTTAATTAAAGACTTGATCTTTGCATTAATGAAGGCCACCATTTCCAGAATGCCTACATAGGGGTTAGAAATTTAAATCATATTAAAAGCTCAGCCCATCAGGCAGGTGGTAAGCTGTATCCTTCTGCTCCAGATTCTAACTTTCTTCCTCCGGCTTGAATCCTTAGACATCTGCCGGGGGTGCTGATGTAATGTTGAGGTTGAGTTTACTGTCAGGCAGTTACAACCCATTAACAGTCCTTGAACCTGAAAAGCTCCCACTGAAACCTAATCTTTAGGCTAAAAGCCGCAGTGACAAAGTGTACAGAAAGAGAAAGCTAATCACAGTTCTTATTTGCATGATAGCCACATCAGTCTTTCTGCCTCGGTGCTCATGTATTCACTTTCTCTCCAACAGATCAGAAGTTTCTCGTCTCTGGAGTCCAGGAAAATAAGTAGATTTTCCTCTATGCCAGTCAAGGTGAAGCAAATGTATTCCCCATTTTCACTAGGCTACCAGGAACTTCCAGATCTTTGTAGTGGAACCCACAAGTCTTAGAGCAAGTCTGGGTTGGTTCTTTGACTCTCCAGTTAATTCAGGCATTTGAATGGATTTGGGGGGGGGTGGAGAAAGAGCCAAACTATTGTTTCCTCGACCACACCCCCCGGCTCTGCCTCCCACACCAAAGGAACGTTTTACCAGCAGTAAACTTTACAACAGACTCTCCTTGGAGCCATAAGTGATCACTTGGTTGCATTTTCACGCAAATTAGTACCTCCTGTTTTCACACCCAGTTGTTTTTTGTTTAGTTTTGTTCTTTTGCCAGTGACTGAGAATCAGCATTGCAATTGTACCTTAATGATTTGAATCTGTATTTTAAATTTAATTATCACCTAAGCACCTGGTCTAAAAAAAATTCCATTCCCCCCTGAGCCCCTCCTCCTGACAGAGAACAGTAATTCCAAAAACTATTTAGGTTTCTCTTGAACTTGAATATATGATACTGGGTTCTGGTTCTTTTGTCCATTTGCAATTAACCTCCAAGAACTGGGGAAGTAAATTGAAAGGGAAGAATCTGAAATAAAAATACACAGGCTGGCACTAGGAAAATAACTTCCGGGGTAAAGGGACTGGAACAAAAAGGAAATGAACACAGATAGGGAGATACTAAGAAAACAGAAAAAGTCAAGGAATGATGCTTTATACCTCTGCCCAGTTCTACTTCAGGGCAGAAGAGTTTCGGAGACACGTTAGACAATCTCTTGTTCCATAGCTTAGGGCTAGACTTATAAATGAATGGAAAAATGTAATAATCCACTAATTCAAAACATTTAGTTTATAACAAAAGCTCTTCGTCAAAGAAGAAACTTTATATAAGGGACTCCCTCTAAGGAAAGCTTTGGAATGATTCCTCCGCAAATGCTCCCCCCTCCCTTATTTTTTGAACAGCAAAAGCAAACAAACAAAAAATTAAAACACGCATATTATCATCTCACCAAACATATTATCACAGATTTCCAATTTGTGCTCTTTCATCCTATACACAGTTTTACTTAAAAGTAATTACATGGCCAGATGGCAAACAAGAAACAACTCAAATGAGAAATGATTCCAAAGTTAAATTATATAAATGCCTTAAATTAGCAAACGAAATTCCCCTCAGGAAAACGAATTTATAAGCAAGTGACCTTGCTTTTTTTTTTTGATCTGCTTCAAAAGACGCGTCTCAGCCTCACAGCATTAGAGACAGGTAGTAGTGGGTGGGCTTCTAGATAAAAGCTCTCCAATGCACAACTCACAAGTCTTGGAGATCAAATCTCATTCCACGTATGTGGAGTTGGAAACATTATGCAGCTTTTCACATGTATATAACGACGGCATCCAAATAGTCATTAAAAAGGTAAATAGTGAGCGCATACTAAATGCCATCTCTTTGGGGTACATCTGTGACATCCCTGCCCTTATGGAGCTTATATTATTTGACAGTAAACTACAATTACCTGGCATGTTAGTGGTAAGTGGTGAGTGGACAAAAGAAAAGGCTGAATAGGATAAAAAAGATTT